CGGAGGATCTGTCCTAGGTTTCTGCCTTTTAACAGGCAGTTTTTCCTTGCCCTTGTCTCCAAGGTCTTGCTCATGGTGGTACTGTTGGGTCTCTGTAATAATGTTATAAAGAGTTCAGTCTAGACCTGCTCTATTTGAAAAGTGTCCTGAGATAACTTCTGTTATGAATTGGCGCTATACAAATAAAATTGAATTGAATTGAATTGAATTAATTATATTGATCAGTATACACTGTATCTTATGGATGATATTGATCAGTATACACTGTATCTGTATGGATTATTGATCAGTATACACTGTATCTTTATGGATGATATTGATCAGTATACACTGTATCTGTATGGATTATTGATCAGTATACACTGTATCTTTATGGATGATATTGATCAGTATACACTGTATCTTTATGGATGATATTGATCAGTATACACTGTATCTTTATGGATGATATTGATCCTGTATTGACAGTCAGACTGTGGACATATGACGGCCTTTAGCTCGTGTTTCTAGAGTTACGTGTTGTTACGAACACGTTAGGAATTGTTAAAATGTGATATTTCTTAAAGGGAGTTTGGTGCAGGGAGCTTTTAGTTGGATTCAAACTGCTGATATGGATCATTGTTAACGTTTAGTCTCCACTACAGAGACACTAGCTAACTGCTGAAGGCTGATCAGGTTGATTGATGCTTTAATAATGGGAGTATTGATTGGTGATCAGGATCATTATCAGCTATAAATGGTTGCTCTCTGTGTGGCTGTTTTTAACCTATAAAATATTTGTATATAATTAATCATTATTAATGACTCCAGATGAACGACAACGTTAGCCACCCCCTGAAGCAGAAACCGAGCGTTGTGATTGGCTGTCTCACCTGCAGGGACCCACTTGTGGCAGCGGTCGCAGTAGAAGGACATGTCCTCGCAGGCCCAGCCTCCGTCAGCCTCCTCGCCCACGTCGCTGGTCAGAGAGTCTCCGCTCTGGTCGTGTGACAGATCCACCGAACCCTGATCCTCCGACTCCACGATCAGCAGGGTCTCCCCCTCCACCTCCCCCTCCTCCAGACCCTCAGAGGCTGACGTGCAGGTCGCCTCGTCCTCGCCTCCTCCCAGCTGCTCACTGCTGCTGTCCATCGCTGGGCCTCAGCCACTGCACCTGTACAGGTAAACAGCAGAGTCACTGAGTTTGAATGAAGTTATTAATTCATCTGAAGGTAGAATGAGTGTTTGTGTCTCTGGAGTGTGGAGACTGAGAGTGACCCTAAAAGTTACACACTGGACCTTAAAGTTAGCTGCGATACCGTGCTGTCGGATCGGTGCACAGACACGTACGCGCCGTCGGCGATACCGCAGTGCTCCTGCGGGGGGCGCTGTGTCTCAGTGCTCCTGCGGGGGGGGGGCTGTGTCTCAGTGCTCCTGCTGGGGGGGGGCTGTGTCTCAGTGCTCCTGCGGGGGGGGCGCTGTGTCTCAGTGCTCCTGCGGGGGGGGGTGGGGCGGGGGGGTGTGTCTCAGTGCTCCTGCGGGGGGGGGCGCTGTGTCTCAGTGCTCCTGCGGGGGGGGCTGTGTCTCAGTGCTCCTGCGGGGGGGGGGCTGTGTCTCAGTGCTCCTGCGGGGGGGGGCGCTGTGTCTCAGTGCTCCTGCGGGGGGGGCGCTGTGTCTCAGTGCTCCTGCGGGGGGGCCTGTGTCGCTCTGCGCAGTCTCTCCTCCTCCAGCTGTCGGGTCAGACTCTGCTGCTCCTCCAGCAGCCTCAGATTCTCCTTCTTCCTCTCCAGCCGCTCCAGATCTCTGACCACGCCTTCGTGGAGACGCTGGAGGAGACACACACATTTAATAAACAACAACAACAACAACAACAACAACAATAACAACACTAATATATGAGCTGATGTTCTTTAAGATAACCTAATAATATGATATTAATGTTTTATTAATATAATGTCTGAATTGGTCGGATAAACATTAATAACGTTTTCTTTCACTATAAACTGTCAGCAGCTGGTTGTCTGATGCCTTTATTTTGAAAACTGAAGCGGAAGTCCGTGCTAGCTGCTGCTGTTAGCATAGCACAAACTGAGCAAACTGTGTTTCTATTTAAACATATAAATATATAAATATATAAATATATTAATATATTTATAACGTTCAAATATTTCCGTCCGTTAAACACCGACAGCTTTTAATTTGAATGCATAAAACGGTCCGTTAACTTCCTGTGACTCCTCCACTGCTAACGGCTAGCTGTTAGCTCACTGTTAGCTCACTGTTAGCTCACTGTTAGCTCACTGTTAGCTCAGGTAGTTCGGCTCGGCTCGGCTCGGTTCACCTGTCGGTCCCAGGTCTGTTTGAGGTGGACCCCGGTCACGGTGCTCAGAGTCAGAACTACAGAAACTCCCAGAACCACCTTGGAGGTCGCAGACATCCCGTTAGCTTTAGCCTCCTGTTAGCCAGCTGCTAACTGCTGTTAGCCGCTTCTTCTTCTTCTTCTTCTGCCGCTGCGGTTTCTGCTTCTTCTTCGTTGACATTCAGCCGTTTCCGGTGTAACAGCGCCCCCTTCCAGTGAGACCCAGAACTGCAGCTCGCATTACAGGACATTTAATAAGCTTCAGTCATTACATCCCATAATATCAAAAACAAGAATAAAACAATGATTGACAGATTAATATTAAAATCTGTCAATCAAACCAAATATTTACAGATAATGAGGCAAAAATAAATAAAATAAATACATATATATATTCCTAAAACACTAAAAATAAATAATATTTAGGATGTAAAATCAGTTTGTAAAAGCTGTAGTTTTAAAGAGGACTACATCTCCCATTAGGCCAGTTTATTGTTTTCCGGGTTAAACGACCAATGAGGAGCCGCGCTGCCTGCGGGGGGCGGGGCTTCTGCTTGCCGTTCAGAGAAAGTGCCACGACTGAGCAGCAGCAGCGGTCGACAGCAGCGGTCGACAGCAGCAGCAGCAGCAGCGGTCGACAGCAGAGTTCAGGTGAGATAAACTCTGCCGAACTTTAAAGTCTTTATCATTTTCAGCTGGGTCACACAGAGGCGGGAAAGTCTTTATCAGCAGACACAGGATGTTTTAATGTGAAAGTCTTTAGATCCAAAATTCACTGAAACAAAAATCTGTTTTCTTTATTGATAATAACCAATCAATCGATCACATGATGAGTGTCTGTGACTGTATGAGACCTTAAAACTGAAGAAATTATTATTAATGAATCATTAAATTATTACTTTTTCTTATTATTGATAACGTGCACGTTTAATTACAGGGACTTTTATTGTGAAAGTCTTAGTTAACTAACTGCTTGTGTGTGTGTGTTACTGTGTGTGTGTGTGTGTGTGTGTGTGTGTGTGTGTGTGTTACTGTGTGTGTGTGTGTGTGTGTGTGTGTGTGTGTGTGTGTGTGTGTGTGTGTGTGTGTGTGTGTGTGTGTGTGTGTGTGTGTGTGTGTGTGTGTGTTACTGTGTGTGTTACTGAACTGTACTAATTTAAAGGATTAAATGTTAAATATTAAATGTTAAATGTTAAATATTAAATGTTAAATGTTAAATATTAAATGTTAAATATTAAATGTTAAATGTTAAATGTTAAATATTAAATGTTAAATGTTAAATATTAAATGTTAAATATTAAATGTTAAATATTAAATGTTAAATGTTAAATGTTAAATATTAAATGTTAAATATTAAATGTTAAATATTAAATATTAAATATTAAATGTTAAATATTAAATATTAAATGTTAAATATTAAATGTTAAATATTAAATATTAAATGTTCTTTCTCCTTCAGACTTCCTGTGACTCTCAGATCAATCATGGACTCCGACCCACAAACAATTGGCCTCATGGTGTTTGGAGGCTTCATGATCCTCTCGGCAGTGGGCATCGCCCTCGTCTCCACGCTCTCCATGAAGGAGACGTCATATGATGAGGCGCTGGCCAAACAGCGGCACCAGCTCATCCAAACGCAGACCCAGAAAGCAGAGAAGAAGAAGAAGAACAAAGCCAAGAGGAAGGAGGACCGACCCGATGGGAAGTTCTCAGAACCAGGCAGTGATGGTGGCGAGGAGCCGGAGGGTGTGACCTGTACTGAACCAGAATCTGAGCCAGAACCTGCCACTGAGCTTGATGCTGCCCCTAACCCATCACCTGAACCTGAACCTGAACCTGAACCTGAACAAGAACCAGAACTCGCTGTGGTTACCGGCACCACAATCAGGTCTGCTCCAGCCCCCTCACCAAAGAAGAAGAAGAAGTCAGCCAAGGTGGAGCCAGCTGCTGTGATGGAAAAGGTTACTAAGGAAGTTCTGGTCATGGCCCTGGCGCCGGTGGTCGGTGTTTCTCCGGTAAACGTCACCAAAGAACCGTCTGCTGCCAAAACTGAAGAACCCAAAGAGACCTCGAGCAAGAAGAAGAAGTCCAAGAACAAACCTGATCCAGGTCAGTAAACTAAAGACGACATCATCACTTACACTCAATTATCAATAACGAGCTCAGACGTACGGGCCGGGTTCGATTATAGATTACTATTTACTTTATATATGCTCCCTTTAGGCAACATTATTAGGAATCACTCCATTAACTTTCACTGTTATGCAGATGATACGCAGTTATATCTATCAATCAAGCCCAATGAAATTAATCAATTATCTAAATTACAAACATGTCTTAAGGACATAAAATCCTGGATGAGCTGCAATTTTCTGATGTTAAACTCAGAAAAAACCGAAATTCTTGTTCTTGGCCCCAAAAACCTTAGAGAATACAAATAAATTTGAATTGAATTGAATTGAAATTAAATTAAACAGGACATTGAGGGTTTGGTTTTTTCTTTAAGTGACTGACTCCGCCCTGCTGCTGCCGTACGGCGAGCTGCTGACCGCCGTGTCCAGCATGACGCTCAGCGACGACAAGATGCACAAACTCATGGAGGTCCTGAACCAGAAGGCCGGCGTCCGCCAAGACTCCTGGCAGCTGGTAGATCAACCGCCACAACAGCTAACGGCTAACAGCTAATAAGTATTGAAACATGCTAATGTTAGCAGCTTGTACTGTCGGTTCCGAGATAAATGTATCTCATCAAATGGTAAAGTTGAGTCTTTGTGTGACATTCAGGCCTGTCAGAGAGGAGATCCACTGGCCGCTCTAAAGAAACAGCTGGAGGAGAAAGACAAGCTGCTGACCAGTGAGCAGGAAGACGCCGCTGTCATCAAAAGTCGCCTTCGAGAGCTCAGCAAGGTGACAATGCCACCCAACAAGGACCAGTATCATGGGTCCTTAAAATATGTTGTTCCTCTGAAGGTGCACTGAGATACGTCAGTGTATGAGTATGAACAGAACTTTGGACCTGCTGTGTTTCCCTCTTCAGGAACTCGGTGCAGAGAAATCCAAGATGGCGTCTTTGGAGGCCCGACTGAAGGCGGAGCTGAGTGCTCGGGTTCAGGAGGTTGATACCCTGCAGACCAGAATGAGGACTGGTGACCAGGAGCACCTGAAACTTACCCAGCAGCTCAACCAAAAGGTGTTTTGAACTAACTGTACATTCTTTAGAGGCAGTCCGAAGCAGGCTTACAGTCAAGTCTCAAATCTTATCAAAGCAAGTTAAATCTCAACTTCTTAAGGGGACACTTGAGACTTCAAGTCTTACGTCCCTGAGGGGAAGTTTAAGTCAGGCTATTAAAGGTAGGTCCAAGTACAGTCACAGGTCTACAAGGCCAACTGTTAAGTCTCATGTCAAATTAGATCAACTTCTTGCTGGGGACGTTTGAGTCAAGTTCTTGAGGACAGGTCCAAATCTAGTCTGAAATGTTAAAGCAAGTCTCACTTCAAGTCAGAGTTCTCCAAGAGGAAATTACAAGTCAGTTGCCTGGTTGTTATATCTGTGAGTTCTAATTCTTGAAATTACATGAAATCTGAACTTTGTCCATGTTATAATGGTGAATTTAATGTCCGCAGGTGGACAGATGAGCAGTGTTTGTAGTGTGTTTAGTTAACTGACTGTTAAACTGGAACAGATCGGGAGTCTGCAGGAACAGCTGGAGAACGGCCCCAACGCTCAGCTGACCCGATTGCAGCAGGAGAACTCGATCCTCCGAGACGCCCTGAACCAGGCCACCAGCCAGGCTGAGAGCAGGTAACACAGGCCGGGTTAGTTAATGGGGGAAGTAACTATGAGCTGCAGCGGCCACTGCACAACAACTTCTGTTGGATGAACAGAACAACAAATTCATCCAGGAGAACTTCAGAGAACAGTTGCAAGACCACGTCTACAGGACTGGTACAGCTACTGTCAGTCTATAATCCGGTGTTATCCTAACCATCCCTACAGGCAGAATACAGAGCTGGCTCGTCTCAGGCAGGACTGTGTCCGTCTGGGTCGGGAGTTGACCAAGCATACCAACGCTCTGCAGTCCGATGAAGAGCAGAGGAAGAGCCTGGAGGTCAAGATGGCCGCTGCCGAGCAAGAACTGGCCCGAGCCCAGGTCAGAAATACTGAACGGTTGTCCTGAAATGGCCATTACGCCATTTGTAGTTTCTTACCCCCAAATTCCACCGGACGCAACGCGTTCCAGCTCTGATGCTCATCAGGCTCATCAGAAGCGTCTCTCGGCTCTGCTTTCAGGAGAATGCGTAAGCACAGTGCAGATCTCACTGACAGGACGTCAGACACACGAACTGCACAGAGAATATGGTCAATTTTCAAACTAAAATACAGCGTACACCCGTGGAATTTTGGGGTAACTTCTTTCAAATAGTGATTTCCCTCCTCTAGAACTGCTCCAAAGGGCAGTGGAGCTGCTGTTAACAGGATGTGTTTTCTGTCTGTGCAGCTGGTCCACGCAGACACTGAGCACGCTCTGCAGCAGCAACTGGAGGAAGTGTGTTCACAGCTGAAAGCATCGCAGCAGGAAGCTGCTGCTGTTAGTGGTCAGTGTTTGTGTTAGCATGTAGCTAACACAGCCCCTTAATTTTAACAATACAAACTAGTTCTGTAGAATCTCATGAACAAGAGTGCGACATGTTTGATTACAGGAACAGCAGAGGTGTGGACTCCAGTCAGACTACAGTCACAAATTTGATTATTTAAGACTCGACCGAATCAAAAAGGACTTGAAACTCGACTCAGACTTTGACAGCAGCGACTTCAGTTGGACGTTTGACTTGAAAATACTCAATATCTTCCACCAAAGATTAAAAAGTATGTTTTTTTAAAAGTGCCATGAATAAATTCATTACCTGAATCAATTAACTTGAACTCGATTGGTTCTCATCAGATCCACTTTGTTGAACCATCCAATCAGGTTGCAGGAGAACCAACGTTACTGAGCGTCAGTTGGAAGAAATGATACCAAAGATCATTTGCTTCATTTGTTCTGTTGTTAAAATAATAACACATTTAGTGAAGAGTGAATTATGACTTTAGGACTCAGGACTTGTGACTCGAGATTCGGGACTTGGTCCCACCTCTGCTAGACACCCAGCAACCTCCTAACTCCTCGACTGTGTTGGTTCTTCTGCTGTTTTTTCCTCAGAGCTGCAGGAGGCGCTGGCGTCCAGAGAGGCGGAGCTGCAGGAGCTCAAGGTCCAGCTGGAGAACCAGGTTACAATCCAGGTAACAACCTGAACACTCACATTCATCATGTTTAACATCCTTTGATTCATTGATTATAAGAAACTAATATCGACCTCTTTCAGTGCTGATATTTTATATCCGACTTCTTCCACTGGTCCCGTAGTTTTAGCTCGCTGGTCGGCCCAGAAAGCTGTCGGATGGATTGAGGTTCAGACTTTCTTCTTCTACTCAGGATGAATTTGTAATAACTTTATTGATCTGATTTTCCAAGTTGGAAATCCGACTTCAGGGGTTGTTCAAGTTGAAATTTACGACTGGGAACTTGGAAGATCCGAGTGGAACGCAGCGCTAGATATGCTACATGCTAGCCTCATTTATGTTGTTAACACGACCTCTGAGTCTATATAGAGACAATAACAGTGATAATACACCAGTATTTCAGTCAAAGTTCATCTGCTTAAAAAGTGGTGACCAACTGGACTCCAGATGTTTGTAACAGCTGCTGTTAATTCTTCTCCTCCTCTGCAGGGATCAGGAAGTGAGACAGAATCCGAGCAGCCGTTTGAAAGGTAAAAAACACACCTGGATTAAACACCTGGAAACACCTGGAATAAACAGCCTGGAAACACCTGGATTAAACAGCTGACTGTCAGCTGACTTCAGTTAAAACATCAGTTTCTATCAGAAATGTATGAATACGATGTTAACTGTAGCGAACTGTCTGTTGTTGTCTGTCAGTCTGGAGAAAGACTCTCTGCTGCTACGACTGGAGGAGGAACTACAACAGACCCGTAACCATGGCAACGTGAGTCAAACACTGCATATAAAACGGCTTAGTTCATAAATCTGATAATAAATTATATATTTAATATAATAAACTAAAACACAATATTTAAACTTCATTCAAAACATACGATCGTATTTAGAACAACGTTTCTATCTGTAATGTTCCTATATCTTATTTGGACCGTTAGCGCCATGCTAATAACTAGCTCGCCGTTTACAAATCACCCATCAGCCAACACCACGATCCCAACCAACGCCAGACCCACAATGCAACACCAAGACACAGCCAGCCGGACAACCCCAGCTAGCTTAGCTACGGTTAGCTAGCTGGATGCCCCTCCCTCGCATCGCTCTTTGCTAGTAGAAAGCTATCGTTAGCTTTGTACCGCTACATCATTTATTGTTGGCTAACATCAGAATACATAAGTTAGCATCATAGATCACGTTAGCTGGGGAGGCTAACGTTAGCCAACTAACATATCCACTCAGATGGTATTTTGTTAGCGATAATGTTAGCTAGCTAGTTACCAATCAAGCTAACGTTGTCCAGCTAAAAGCCCAATGAGACAATATGTTCCACTAGCTTAGCATTAATGTTAGCTTTGACTTTGGACTCTGTGTTGTGGTGGGTGTCGTTTGTAAACAAATCTGATTTTGTTCTTCAGGAGCTTCAGGAGAAAATGGCGGCGAAGGCGGAGGCGTTTTCAACCGCAGAGCGTCTGAGCGAGCAGAGGGAGGCGGAGCTTAAAGCAGCGCTGGTCAGTGAGACAAAAACACGACCTGGAAGTTTGTTAAATATCCAAAGATCTAAAAGATCATCAGGACTTTTCCTCCCTTGTTCAGACTGACTCAGAAACCAGGTTTGCCGCCCTGCGTTTGGACTTCCAGGCGTCGCTGCAGGTTCTGTTTCCTGGCGTCTCCGTGGAGGCGGAGCAGGTCGGTCAGCTGTTTCCTGTTTAAGTAAATCAGTGAGTTCAGTGGCCGTTAATGTTAGCAAGTAGGCTAAAGTTAGCCCACTAACATATCTACTCTGAATTGTTGTTTTACTTTGTCACAAAGAGCTTCCTGTTTGTTTATTGTTTGTTTATTGTTTGTTTCCTGTTTGTTTCCTGTTTGTTTATTGTTTGTTTCCTGTTTGTTTATTGTTTGTTTCCTGTTTGTTTCCTGTTTGTTTATTGTTTGTTTCCTGTTTGTTTATTGTTTTTTGTTTGTTTCCTGTTTGTTTTTGGTTGTTTGTTTGTTTGTTTATTGATTGTTTATTGGTTGTTTCCTGTTTGTTTATTGTTTGTTTCCTGTTTGTTTCCTGTTTGTTTCCTGTTTGTTTATTGGTTTTTCCTCGTTTGTTTATTGGTTGTTTCCTGTTTGTTTCCTGTTTGTTTATTGTTTGTTTCCTGTTTGTTTATTGTTTGTTTCCTGGTTGTTTCCTGTTTGTTTCCTGTTTGTTTATTGGTTGTTTCCTGTTTGTTTGTTTATTGATTGTTTATTGGTTGTTTCCTGTTTGTTTATTTTTGTTTTGTTTGTTTATTGTTTGTTCCGTTTCGTTTGTTTTCTGTTTGTTTATTTTTTGTTTCCTGTTTGTTTATTGTTTGTTTCCTGGTTGTTTATTGTTTGTTTCCTGGTTGTTTCCTGTTTGTTTCCTGGTTGTTTATTGTTTGTTTCCTGGTTGTTTGTTGTTTATTGTTGGTTTCCTGGTTGTTTATTGTTGGTTTCCTGGTTGTTTCCTGGTTGTTTATTGTTTGTTTCCTGGTTGTTTCCTGGTTGTTTATTGTTTGTTTCCTGGTTGTTTATTGTTTGTTTCCTGCAGAACGACTGGCTGGAACTGTTTACTCAGAAGGTTGAGCAGAGTAAAATCGAGGCAGAGACGTCTCACTCTGAGGTAACAACAGACAACAAACTAAAGAACTCTTTAAAGAACGTTTTGGTGATGTGGAAAAAGTTTTTATAGAATCTGGAAAATGTTTAATTGTTTATTAACTTCTTGTTTCATTATCAGTTTATTATACAAATATTATTATTATATATTATGACTAATCTTATAAGATTATAATACAAATATTCTGATCTTAACCTGAACCCAGGAGGTTTGGTTTGGTTTATCTGATCCATCATTAATCAATGATGTTTGTGCTCAGCTGCAGTCGCGGCTCCATGAGGCAGACAGGAAACAGGCGGAGCTGGAGGCGGAGTCTGATCACAGCAGGAAGCTGCTGCAGGAAGCCGTAAACACCACTTTATTATTATTGATGATCTTATTGTTGTTGTTTGTTTGTTTTCTCATCAACAGTTTGTTTTGATTGTGTTGACAGGAGGCGGAGCTTGAGGCTCTGCGGCGGCGCTCTGAAGAAGATAAAAACGTCTGGAGGCAGAAAATGTCTGAAGCTGAACAGAAGAAACAAACAGTGAGTCATAAATCAATCAATAATCAATAATCCTGATTCTAATGAGACAGTGGAACGATCAGTGAGAACTCGTGTTCACAGATTACACATTAACACTTTTTCATTCATTCATTCATAAACACTTTTATTGTAAATACCTGATGAAGTAAACGATCTGCGGGACATCTGCAGGTCCTGGATCAGCTGCAGCTGCTGGAGGACGAGGTTCAGCGGGGGAGGACGGGGATGGAGGACACGCGGCAGGTTGGTCCTCTCTCACTCTGATTGTGGTTGATGAAAGTCGCGGTCTGACGGTGTCTTTGTGTCACAGCTGAAGGAGCAGCTGATGCTGCTGGAGGCACAGCTGGAGAAACAGCTGGAGGAGGCCGGCTTCGCTCAGAGTCGCAGGGAGGAGCTCGCTCAGGTCCGAGTCCATCACACTGAACACTGACAGTCCACAGAGTCTGGGTTGAGGTTGGCAGCTTTAGTTCCAATAAACACTGGAGAGAAAACGTGTTTGATTAGCTCAGAGATATGGACTATTAAATCATCTATGTTTCCTCACTGCATCCACTATAACATCCATAATGTGCATCCCTAATCAATAATGTTGTAGTGGTCTGTGCTCAGTGTATTTACACCAACCAACTTATTCCTGCAGCGGTACGTTCACTGACCCACCTGCTGCTTGATCCTGCATCTGACAACCTGGTCTGGTGTTTGGCGCCCCCTAGTGTCTGCTGAAGGGAATACAACCAAACGCAAACACAATAATAATAATAATCAGAATGAATCCGTTCAGTTGAATCCAGAAATATTTGAGGGTTGAGCTGCAGAGGAAGATAAAGTTCACCTGTAGTGAAGAATAAAACCAACTCCAGAGACAAAAACACTGATTTTACCTTCAGAACTTCAGATTGACCAAAATAAAACTCACTAAATACAGTTCATAAGTACAGTAATGAAGTATTTCTACTTTATCCTGGTTTTATCTCTGTGGTTTCTGCATAAACGAGTCACTCAAACACAGTATTGATTATTGATTGTGTATCAGGTGCAGTGGGAGCTGCAGCAGCTGGACAGAGAGCTGCAGCAGGTGAGTCCTACCTTTCACCTGTCCTCTGGTCGGTGGACGCTCACACTGCTCACACCTCTCTCTCATTTCAGGCTCGACAGGAAGTGTTGCAGCTGCAGACGGAGGCTGGTCGGAGGTCAGCTGCTGCGCTCCAGGTTGGTTCAGATCCCACCAATCACATCTTTAATAACAATAACCTTAATAATGAATATCCTGCTGTTTCTGCAGGAGGCCGCTGTCGAGGTGAAGGAGGAGACGCCGGTGTGAAACAGCAACCCTTTCGGATCCTGTTACCATGGTAACGTTGAGTGACGTCGACCTCGAGCGGATTTCAGATCTGACCACTCGATGAAAACTGTTAAATGTGCAATTATTTGACTGGACTTCAGTGTGACACAATAAACTGTAATGTCGGAATCTTTTCCACCAGACTCACAAAAACATTCATTTTACCTTCAGATCATCATAACTTCATTAAAGTGGACAGAAACAGAATAAAACTCATTAAAGCGTGTCTGTTAGTGTTTCCAACAATCACCAACTCTGGTTTGGTGGAAATAAATCCTTCATTCACCGACGTAGATGATAAAAACAGCAGTTTCAGTCGGAGCAGACCGGCTATGGAAACAAACCACAGAGAGGCTGCGATACAACACAGGCAGAGGGAGAGAGACACCATGTGACTCTGTGTATAGGATTCATTCAATTCAGTTCAATTTTATTTGTATAGCGCCAATTCATAACAAAAGTTATCTCAGGACACTTTTCAAATAGAGCAGGTCTAGACCGAACTCTTTAAAACATTAATTACAGAGACCCAACAGTACCACCATGAGCAAGACCTTGGAGACAAGGGCAAGGAAAAACTGCCTGTTAAAAGGCAGAAACCTAGGACAGATCCTCCGGCTCTAGGTGGGTGGTCGGAGTTTGAGAGAGAGAGAGAGAGAGAGACAGCAGAGTAACAGACAGACAGGTGCACAGCAACAACAGTAGCAACGACTACACTAATAGTAGCGACTGATGATGATGGCCATGACAACAGCAACGATGGGGGACAATGAGCAGTGACAATAGTAATAATAGTAACTGTAGTAATAATATTAATAACAATAATATCAGTGATATTAGCAATGGCAATCTAGCAGGACCATGGCAGGAGGCTCCACCAGGATCGATAAGAACCTGCGAGACGAGAAAGCACAAGAACTCCGGGGAAGAAGTGAAGTTAGTAACATGCATTAATGGAACATGAATGAGTGCAGAAAGAGAGAGGAAGAGAGGAGCTCAGTGCACCATGGGAAATCCCCCGATAGTCTAGGCCTATAGCAGCATAACTAAGGGATGGTTCAGGACTCACCTGATCCAGCCCTAACTATAAGCTTTATCAAAGAGGAATGTCTTAAGCCTACTCTTGAATGTGGTGAGGGTGTCTGCCTCCCGAACCACAACTGGAAGCTGGTTCCACAGGAGAGGAGCTTGGTAACTGAAGGCTCTGGCTCCTGTTCTACTTTTAGAGACTATAGGAACCACAAGTAGCCCAGCATTCAGAGAACGTAGTGTTCTAGTGGGGTAATAGGGTACTATGAGCTCTTTAAGATATGAAGGGGCCTGACCATGAAGAGCTTTATAGGTGAGGAGGAGGATTTTAAATTCTATTCTACATTTTACAGGGAGCCAATGCAGAGAAGCTAGTACAGGAGAGATGTGATCTCTTTTTCTAGTTCCTGTCAGTACTCGTGCTGCAGCGTTCTGAATTAATTGGAGCGTTTTAATGGACTTATTGGGGCAATAAAAACAATATACTGTTTAATATCTTGTATAGAAATATTAATAATATTAATAATTGATTTATTATTTAAATGCATCCAAACACAAAGAACAACTCAACAGATGAAAGCCAATTTTATTGATCAAGTAACATAAATATGACAAACGTTTCACTGTACATATGACCTGGAAACCAAAGTAAAAATAAATAAGTGTCACAGCAATAAATTAAAAGCATGAAACGGACCAATAGACTGTTAGCTTGAGTCAGTGAGATGAGACGCTGAGTCGTGTTCGTCTCCGAGGTCGACAGTGCAGTTCGATGGCTATTTACACACATTTTATTTTACACATTTTCAGTAGCTGACGTTTCGTTTCACACTTCAGTTCACATTCGTCTTTTTTACAACTTCAATAACTTCAGCAACAATTTAAAAAACTAAGAAAAGCAAAAAGCAGCTGATTATTAACCCCTTCAGTCACATGTCGATCAGCGCCTCAGTAATACGTTCAGTATCAAATACTTCAGTCAGCAGGTTACAAAAATATCACACACTCTTATTCTCTTAACCAGGGTCCTCACTTCCTGCCGCAGCGAGAGGTCAGTGAACGCAGCAGCTCTCAACCGTCAGTCCCAAAACAAACCGGGTGCCCTTTGACCCCGCGTGACCCCGTTTGAACCCGTCCACCCTTTTATCTGCGTTCATTCGACATAAAGAGGACGAGTGGAGGATTTAGTGCCACCTAGTGGTGGAGCTGTAGACTGCAGAGGTCAGTGGGAAACGTAGTGCAACGGTTCGGCCCCTCCAGGAAGCTGCAGACGGACAATCCAACCAATCAGTGCAAACTACCACACATTTTATTCCCACTAGGACAAGTCACCTTCCACTTTTAATTCATTGTTTTTTTTAATCGCAAATATTTTTATCACTTTCTCTCAATTTAACTGCAAAAAAAAAAAACATAACCAAAAAACAGCCTGAAATCCTGGAGGGACTGATTCTGGAAAAGATCCAACAGGAACAGCTGTAATATCACTATCACTCTCCACCAGACTCACAACACTCATGTTACCTTCAGATCATCACAACTTCATTATAGTGAACAGAAACAGAATAAAACTCCTCTGTTAGTGTTTCCAACAATCACCAACTCTGGTTTGGTGGAAATAAATCCTTAATTCACCGACGTAGATGTGAAAATATTGGAGCCACAACGTAAGCGAACGTTAATCCTTAATCATCTGACATTGTAACTCCGTAATTAACACATAATTAACCAATCACTGCAACCTTTCCACAGATTGGACCAATCACAGCTCGTCACCTGGAACCAGTTCCCTCCCATCTGAATGAATTATACAAATAATAATAATAATAATAATAATAATAATATTTGTGTGTTTTTTAAAGCTGTTTTACGCCCCGACAAACCCACTTTTTTTGTTTTATTTCAAAATGGCTGACTTCCTGTTGGGTTTGCGGGTCCAAGACGCAGAACTGTGATTCTTTTGTCAGAATAATAATAATTCCCGTATTTCCTGTTTTTAACATTTGACTAAAGGAGAGTTTGAACATCGAGACGTAAAAATGTACAAACAACCTCAAATCTGGAAAGTGGATCCGGTTCCTGACGGGTTCGATCAATAATCACAAAATCCCCCAAAACTAAATCTGACTGTCGGGTTGAGAGCTGCTGAGCCGAACCTCCGGCCTCAGATCCCGTGAGCTCTCGGTACAATCCGGAGCGCCGCTGGCCACCGGCCCGCTGGAGGCGAACAGGAAACTACAAACATCATCAGGACACAAACACTGCAGGTTCTCCGGCGTGCAGCCACCGACCGCCGCCGCCGCCCTGGTGGCTGCAGCTTTCATAGTCCAGCTCCGTGTCCACACACACACACACACACACACACACACACACACACACACACACACACACACACACACACACACACACACACACACACACACTCTGCAGGAGACAAAAATCTCAAGGAGCAACAGAAACTGATGTAAACATTATTTCAGGAAAACAAACACCTGAGACTATTTACTCATCGTCACGTCGCTGAAGCTTTTATTTTGAAAGTGTTCCCCAGCTGCTTCCTGTTCCTGTTGCCGTGGCAACCAGTGACAGCGGTCGTGGTGGTGACCTCCTTTCCCTTCGTCAACATCATTTTGCTTATCAGCTACAAGCTGTTGTTGTTGTTGTTGTTGTTGCCGTAGTAAATTTCTTCGTACTTTGGAGGGTTGATGAGTTTGTCCACTAGGGGGCAGACGGGAGCCGAATCAAAATATCTGAACAGAAACGTAATTAAACAGCAACACTCGAGGACGTTCCACCGAAATCATCGTTTCACCAAACGATCCCTCAGAATTCAGTAAGGAGACGTTGGCGTTAGCAACAGTAGCTAAGGGGGCGGACTCCCAACCTTTAGTCTGTAGTATGGTCAAACTACATTACCCATTATGCAACTGGAGAGTGTCTTTCATTACAGCCAAATCGAACTAAAACTCAGCTGCTAACATTAGCACGTCCAGCTAACTGGCTTAATAACCAAATGCTACTTCCTAGGCTAACAGTTAGCACAATAGTTTATGGGGTTAAAGGTTATGGTCAAGTGCTATCAGGGTTAGCTAATGTTAGCAGCTGGAGCTAACGTTAGTCTTCATCCTAACAGACTTTTATCTCTGAAAACACGAATGAGTATCTTTTACAGGATTCCTGTTTTAAAATAAGTTAGCTTTTAGGTTTCCGGATAATAATTATAATCTTCTTTTGTCAAATTCTGCCAGTTAGCAACTTCAACACCTGAAAAATTAAACCCGGGTTAAAGGACACAAACGTATGCAGTGAGAAAGTGAGCTAACGCTAACGCTGTTACCGTAATGTGACTGCTGGTGACTCCTGGACCTTACTGTCTTTGTGCTAAGCTAGCTTAAACACATCTGTCTCCGTAGTAACGACTAACAGTGCTAACGCGGTAGACGGATGCTTGTGGCGGATGTGAAACACCAGAGTAAAGAACTTGTACAGTAGACTGACCGACGGTTTGAGAACTTGTTAGCCGGATGTTGCGGCGTTTGTTTCGCTACCTGCTGATGGTGTTGGAACACTTCATGATGCAGATACAACAAGCTACACACACACAGACAGCGCACACTTCAAAACACACAAACAGAGAACGTTTTCCCTTGAGAGTCCCGACAGCCGCAGGCGTGGAGCGGTAGAGCGTCTGCGTCTACCGAGCTCCGACCGCTCCACTGCTGCTGGAAGAGTCCGAGCGTCTCCACAAAGTCTGATTGCTAAAACCTACACAGACACAAACATCCCCGGTCCCTTCGTCACGGTTTAAGGTAGTTCGGGTGAAATCAAAACCAGAAAGTGTTGAGTCTGGTGGTTCGCCGGTCGAGGAAGGAGCCGACCAGTAGCCGCTCAGCTGGCAGCTCCTGCAAAGGATGACATCGTCCGACGGTGGCGAACATCCACACAACATGCGGCGGAAGCCAAAACTTCAAAACTTCCAGGCGACGTGTTGAAAATTCCGGCGAATTCCACAAAAAGAAGGAGCGAGAGAGCGAAGGAGGAAGGGAGACTGCGGTGCGTCTGCGTAAGCGAGGCTTCTACCACTACGAGAGCTGGCGGTTGGCGACTTATTTAGCACTCCGATGACGGAGGACGGCGGCGGACGTTTGCTTCGTCCGCCAGGCCGAGGAACAGAGACAGCGTCAGCATCAGCTTGACCCCCTCGACAGGTCGAGTCCCGGCGACCTGCGGTGGGATCAGGAGTCAAGACACGAGCGCGAACGAACGAAATCCAGCCCAGGCACGAATGTTTAAACCCCGCCCCCCCCACCCCGAGGACATAACAAAAAGAGAAACTTTTGGCTTTGTGGTTATTTACAGTGACTTCCTGTGGAGGACTCAATGGTGGCGACCCGGCGCCGGCGTCGGAGGTCAGGGTCAAGTCTTCGAGCTGGGAGGAGGAGGAGCTAACTGTGTGTGTGTGTGTGTGTGTGTTACAGTGTTTGTGTATGTGTGAGAGAGTGTGTGTGTGTGTGTGTGTGTGTGTGTGTGTGTGTGTGTGTGTGTGTGTGGACCCTCAACTAGCTCCGCCCCCTTCCTCTAGCTCCGCCCTCAGCTACTGGCGGACCTCGTTGGCGATCAGACTGTCCTCCCCTGACTGAAAATCCGCCTCATTGATGCTGTTCCCTCCGTTCAGCAGCTCCTCGTCCTGGGACGACCCCCGGTCCTCCTCGCCGCTGCCACCGCCCGGCTCGTCTGAGTTTGGGTCCTGGAGCACCTGCGCGATGTACATCTGCTGCTGCTGCTGCTGCTGCTGCTGCTGCTGGACCGAGCAGAACCAGAACCGACAGTTAGTCAACATCTACAGCACTTCACTGAGTTAGCTTAGCCCGGATCAACCAAACTCAATTCAGAAAATAAGCATTTTAAAATGTTTGTTAGCTCCACAATAAGAACTCGTAACAGATCTACTCACCTGAGACTTGGTGATGGGAGAGGACGAGGGACGAGCTGGACGTCCGTTCTCAACGGCGTCCACGTCGTTCTCCTTGGTGTCGATCTGAGACAGAGACACGGAGTGAGGCTGCGTACTACACCTGGAACAGGCACCTGGAACAGGCACCTGGAACAGACACCTGGAACAGGCACCTGGAACAGGCACCTGGAACAGGCACCTGGAACAGGCACCTGGAACAGACACCTGGAACAGACACCTGGAACAGGCACCTGGAACAGACACCTGGAACAGGCACCTGGAACAGACACCTGGAACAGACACCTGGAACAGGCACCTGGAACAGGCACCTGGAACAGACACCTGGAACAGGCACCTGGAACAGGCACCTGGAACAGGCACCTGGAACAGGCACCTGGAACAGACACCTGGAACAGACACCTGGAACAGGCACCTGGAACAGACACCTGGAACAGGCACCTGGAACAGGCACCTGGAACAGGCACCTGGAACAGACACCTGGAACAGACACCTGGAACAGACACCTGGAACAGGCACCTGGAACAGGCACCTGGAACAGACACCTGGAACAGACACCTGGAACAGACACCTGGAACAGGCACCTGGAACAGGCACCTGGAACAGGCACCTGGAACAGACACCTGGAACAGACACCTGGAACAGGCACCTGGAACAGACACCTGGAACAGGCACCTGGAACAGACACCTGGAACAAACCGGCGGTCGTACCTTGTAGTTGTGAGCGCTGAGGTACTTGAAGTGTCCGAAGCAGACGTGGGACAGGCAGACCACGATGGTGACGATCAGAACCACCAGAGTGAACATGGAGGTCGGCGTCTCGAAACCTGTTAGCATCAGTTAGCATTAGTTAGCATTAGTTAGCATTAGTTAGCATTCAACAACAAAAAGTAAATGTCGAAGCCCTCCAGACAACTTCAGTTTATCGACTGTTTCCATCAGCTCTCATTTGGTCTGGACTCACCTGAGATCCTGTTTGACCTCGCGGGGGGGGCTTACCTGTGCGTACAGTGGAGAAGAAGAGCAGCCAGAAGAGGCAGAGGATGGGCGCGGCCACCACCTGGGTGACGGCTCCTGAGTGGATCTTCTTGTCCAGTTTGGAGGGCAGGTAGGCGTAGTACATGTTGTATCGGTCCACCAGGTGTTTCAGCAGCATGTACATCAGACCTGCAGGTGACAGGTGAGTCAGTGCGGACTTAAAGTCTCCACTCTGGGTATACTGTAGCAGCATTAGCAGTAGCATTAGCATTATTAGCAGCATTAGCATTATTAGCAGCAGCATTATTAGCATTATTAGCAGCAGCATTAGCATTAGACTGACCGAAGGGGACGATGATGGGGCAGGTGATGCTGTAAGCCATCACCACGGTGAAGACGTTCATCATCCAGGCGTACGCGGCTCCGAACTGGAACTCGTAGGCCTGATGCTGCAGGGACCAAACACAGTGTGTCAGACAGGAAGTGACCACAGCGGCGCCCCCTGAGGCTGTAATGCTCATCACAGTCACTGCGTGGCGTCGTCAGGTTACCACAGACCAATCTGGGTCGGCGTGCTCACCCTCTTAACGTTGCGGCGGTCGGCGGCGGAGCGGGCCAGGCACAGCCGGATCATGTACATGAGCAGACCCGGGATCCGGAGCAGGTCCATGGCGTTCCCGATGAACGCCGAGGCGATGACGTAGTTAACGAAGAACGCTCCGTTATCTGGCAGGAAGACGCACCTGAAGGGACACGGCAGACGCAATGTTTCAAAATAAGAGCACATAAACAAAGGCTGCAGATGGAAGTCAGTCAATATTAAAACATTATAACGAGTGTTTGAATCTTATTTGTTTCGGACTTTCAGTATTTAAATCTTGATGCTGACATTAAGTTTAAAGGTCTAAACGAGGACCGCTGAGGGATTACAGATTATATTAAACCACTTACTCAAACCTGACTTTGGCATCAGCCAGGAACTTCTTATCAAAGAGCCAGCGGAAGAACACGTCCAGACTGCAAGAGAAAGAGTTCCAGTGAGGACAGCAGAGGTCAAAGGTCACTCAGGGACGGACTCTTACCAACAGATTATTACCTGCTGAGTCCGAGAGACGGCAGCAGCAGAACCATGAAGATCAGGAAGGTGTAACATTTGTGCATCGTCGTCCTGTTTTCTCCAGACCTGCAGAAACAGACGGATCAATTAAATCAATAATCTATTATCATTCATAGCTGTTAGCTTCAGTCTGTTAGCATGTTATCATAACCTGTTAGCTGTTAGCTTCAGTCTGTTAGCATGTTATCCAGTCTGAAGCCACATTTTTACCATCCACTGTTTAGATCTTGGTGCTTTATAAGGATTTTAGTCATCAGATGTCTGGATGGTGTCAGTAGTGGTGAAGACAACAACTCCCATGATTCCACGCCACTCACCTGGTCCAGTGAGCCTCGAAGAAGGCAGAGTAGTAGACGATGGTGGGCAGCAGAGCAGAGAAAGCCCAGAGCAGCAGCGTGGGGAAGAACTGGGTCACGATGGGGTTCTGTCCAAAACAAGAGTCACAACAATCAGTTCACATCGTATGAACACAACCCTGCGGCAGAGCGGCAGAGCGGCTTCCTTACGTTGAGATACTCCACAGGCTTGGTGACGTTGAATTTGTCCATGGTGGAGATGATGATGGCGGGCGTTGTGAGGAAGAAGAGCAGGAGGAAGAGGATGCAGTTGATGATGAAGCAGCGGATCCACCAGGAGATCCCGCCCAGCGACAGGTGCTCCCTGCAGGAATAAACCAACACACATGAGCTGAGGATGAAGGGTGCGTTTGTTTGGTATGTGGCGGGTGGAGCTCGTGGATGTACCAGCGGACGTTCTGCGGGTCGGGCGCGTACGAAACACTCCAGTTGTAAACGTGAAGAACCTCGCTGAACTGAGAGGACTGAGGCTCCTGACGACAGCGACAGCCCTGAACCTGACAGGCGTTAAAATCCTTCAAAATACTGTGAAAACAGAGGGGTGTGGCCAAGATAAAGGGGTGTGGTCAGAGCAGCATAAACAGGAAGTGTATTACAGTTTCAACAAATAATAACAAACAGTGAAAACAAAGTGAAAAATTAACTAATTATTGTTTTAAAATCTGTTGGTGGGCGGGGTCAGATAAGGGGCGGGGTCAGATAAGGGGCGGGGCCAGGCAGTGCCTCACATTGCAGTCATGGACTCGTTCTGGAAGGTGACGAAGGCCATGCCCAGCGGTTTGGTGTGGACCTTCTCCTTCTCCTTCCTGTACTCCTCCTTCAGCTTGGACTCCGTCTTGGTGTAGTAGCTCACCGCCTCCTCCTGCAGGACAATTGCAGGCTGCTAATTCACTGCTAACATGCTAACGGCTAACACTGACCCAGCACATAGAACCAGACCAGGTCTCATTTGATCCAGATAAAACTTTAACATTAAAAATAACCAGAGCAGAGTAAATCACACAATTGACATTATTGACATTATTGACATTATTGATATTATTGATATTATCGATATTATTGATATTTGAGCAGACCTCCTCGCAGCCGGTGATGGCGCAGCAGCAGAGGTGTCCGCAGGGTTTGGGGTTAATCATGGTGGGAACGTGTTCCTTCGCCATCAGGTCAGTGAAGAACTTCTTACTGCGCTCCGTCTTCTTCCTGACAGACACACACAGCACGGACACACAGTCATACTCTATACACAGAGCTGAACTGTATCCCAGCATGCACTGGGCCCTGGCTGTCTGTCTCACCTCTCGGCGTTCAGAGACATCAGTTTGGCCACGTTGTAGCAGATTCGAGCCTCGAGCACTGTGCAGTTCTCATACGCCTGCCTGAGGAGTAACACACATTCAGATCCTTAATATTATTGTTGTAATAATAATAATAATAATAATAATAATAATAATGGGAGGCTGCAGCTCAGAGGCAGAGTGGGTCGTTTCTTAATCGGAAGGTTGTGGGTTCAATCCCCGGCTCCTGGTGCCACATGTCGAAGTATCCTTGAGCAAGATACTGAACCCCAAATTGCTCCTGACGCCGTGCATCGGTGTGTGAGTGTGTATGAATGTTAGTTTCTGTTCGATGGACTTTGCCAACACTGAGTGAATGTGTGTGAAAGGGTGAATGTGTCTGTAGTGTAAAAGTGCTTTGAGTGGTCGGAAGACTAGAAAGGAAACTATACAAGTACAGCTCCATTTACCATATCGACAGAAACCTTTTAACTGCACAGATCACATGATACAAATAGGACATTTTATTCAATTTGACCGACTGATTCCAGCAGCAGGTAGACACTGTTCAGCTTTATTCCTCATTACATTATGGATTATTAAAGCTTTAACCAGCGTCTGGTGTCGGTCTGAGGGACAGGAAGAGACGGAGACGAGCGGTGAACTC